AAAGTTACTAGACTATACAACAATAATAAATATCCAATACCTCTTTGTGCCATCGAACTCGAGGACTCCGACTCTGGCAGTATTGACACTTAAGGCCTTGAATTTATTTTCCATTCAAAAATTCAGATTGAACTAAAGGGAAAGTATCCATCCTTCAGTGTGTTTGAAGTTTGAAAATAAACTTATGTCCAAAACATGTAACTTCTGCTAAAAATATAATATTCAGGGTGATCAATTATATTTTATTTACTACGATAATTTAATATATATGTCTGTTATTACGATAACTTAAGCAAAAATGATCCGATTGTGATGAAATTTGTTATAAACGTGTAAACCTACATTTATTGGAACGAGTTCGCAAAGCAGCATGAACTATGGGAATGGGGGTTTATGGAGTAAAAATTGTTTTTTCCCATTTTTTACAAAAAAAAAACATAAAATTTAGCAATTTCTCTCTAAATTATATTGTAGAGCTTAAAAAACAAACAATTTAGTATATTGAAGCGTTATTATGTAATGCTTATGGTGAAAATTCCAAAAAATTGCAAATTTAAAATGTCCATGTTATTCTCATGGAGATTAAGTAAACTGTTGTGTAGTTTGCTTGTTTATGAACATATTTTGATCAAATTTCAAAATGTATCTTAATAATCTATTCACATATGATAAAAAACACTTTTTTATCCTCCCTTTTGCAGCAAACCTAAGTACTAGTTAATCTAATTTTATTTAAATAGGGAATAAATGTGATATTTTTAAGGAGAGATTTTAGTGTAAATCGAATCAGGCAAACGGAAATTCGCTTAGTCTGCAGGTTTGCTGCGGCGGGGGTATTTCAGTTAAAAGTAGTATAATTAAAACAATTAACATTAACTGATATCAACAAAATAAAATGGTAAAGCCCAAATCATTAGACTAATCTATCCTAAAATGAGAAACATAAATTAATTTTGTCTACACTTAGCACACTCAAGTCAACTTAATACACATCAAATTAGGCTTAAAGTTTTACACTATCAAGTCACTTATGATTTTTTGTACTATTTTTCCTTTACAAATCATTAACATACAGCATAAAGATGTGTCAAAATGTTAAGTTATTTGCTTAGTGTCTGGAAATGTAACGCTAACCTTGCAGACAACAAAGGTATCCGTTACTTGGATATTGGATACTGTTGATACTGAGGTGTATCTTGGAACTTTCCTTGTATCTTTGAAGTAGGCTTTCTTGTGTTGAACACAAAACTGATAAATTGAATTGTTGTGATAAATTGTTCCATCAACAACAAACTATTACATGTCAGTAGGCCTATAAACCCCCGCCGCAGCAAACCTGCAGACTAAGCGAATTTCAACTTGTCTGATTACATTTTTATTCAAATATTTCCATAAACAAGACATATTTATTCCCCATTTAATGAACATTAGATTTAACAAGTTATAGGTCGGCCGCTTAGAAAACGACCTCCTCCAGCATTGGTTTAGCATTAGCGCGCAGGTCGTTTTCTAAGCGGCCGAACTATAGTACTTAATTTATGGTTTTCATGCGACAGGGAAGGTAAAGCGTTTTTTACCTAATGTTAATTAAATAGTGTTTAGTGAAATAAATAAATTTGGCAAATTTTTTCAACATAATATACCCATAAACAAGCAAAATACGACAGTTTTCTTTTTCTCCATAAGAATTTTAAATATATAGTTTTTTTTTCTCTATAGCCTTTTTGTACAAGGCTTCAATGTACATTGTTTGTTTTTAAGCTCTTCGCAATGGTTTTAATGAAAATTGCGTATTTCCATGTTGCAAGTGGTTAGACTTGACCATAAACTATTTATTAAGTTATATGTTTCTAATTATTGAAATGTTTTTGTGTTTACTTTAAAAAAATGTAAATACAATATGAGTTTGAGAGTGAGGAAAAACAATGTTAAACAGTCCACTTTTATTCTGAGTAACAAAATAAATCAACATTTCTGGAAGAGGTGGTCCCTAGAATATTTAAATAATTTACAACATAGAAGCAAGTGGACGGAGGTAACAAAGAGTTTAAAGGTCGGAGATCTAGTCATCATCAAGGAAGAAAATACTCCTCCATGTAAGTGGCACACTGCGAGAGTAGAACAAGTACATCCAGGAACTGATGGAATAGTACGTGTGAAAATAGCCCCAGTCAACCCTCACAGTTTGAGCTTTTACTATCTTGATCGCAAAACCCTTCTTTGAAATCAAGTTTGAAAAATGCATGCTTTTGGAGGACGAAGATTATGATTTCCCGTGACTATGGGAGACGAAGATCTTGTCTACACAACTACAGGATATATTCAAGATCTTACCACAACAGGGTGTCCACAGAAAATGTTTCATTAATTTCCATGACCATTTACCATTGATTTCCATGACTCAAGAACTTTACTCAAAAATTATAATATAACATACAGACACAGATAATACTGTCTGGATAAGTTATTTCACAGAAAATACTTAAATATTTAACAAATAATTAAATAGTTAACAAATAAAAATAGAGTACAATAATAGGTACAACAATGAACTAATAGAAATAGGGATGGACGAGATTGGGTTTTTAGTTTGAGACTTCTCATACATAACAGGAAATGCACGTTCGACATTTTTCCCTGATTTTGTAACATTGTTAAATACCTACTGATTTACCTATGACGGATGACAGGATACCCTGTTTGAACAAAAAATAATAAAAGACATGAATATTTAAAATATTTTATTAAAAACATCAGTATAAAAATTTTTTTATTAATTACGCCTACCTTATTAAAAATTACTCTTGCGCTTAGGAAACATGGTAATATCAGTTAGAATAGAGTTAAAGTTTGAAAAATACCAAATTTATCGGTCTTTAACATCAGACTTACTCGTTTAGTATCATCAAGTAACAATTATTCAGTTATGTGTTATTTTTATAATGATACTAGCTGACCCGGCGAACTTCGTATCGCCTATGTTATAGGTTTCCCCTAAGACAGACCGATGGAAAGAAAGTACCGTTACGTTTAATATTCAAGATGATCTCGTTCGCATCGCTCAATCACGTCCTGGTTGAAGTTCGTTCGCTACGCTCACTCACCTTTGGGTTGGAGCTCGTTCGCTACGCTCACTCACCTTTAGGTTGGAGCTCGTTCGCTGCGCTCACTTGCCTTCAGGTTAGCTCGTTCGCTACGCTCACTCGCCTCCAGGTTGATCTCGTTCGCATTGCTCAATCACGTCCTGGTTGAAGTTCGTTCGCTACGCTCACTCACCTTTGGGTTGGAGCTCGTTCGCTACGCTCACTCACCTTTAGGTTGGAGCTCGTTCGCTGCGCTCACTTGCCTTCAGGTTAGCTCGTTCGCTACGCTAACTCGCCTCCAGGTTGAAGTTCGTTCGCTACGCTCACTCACCTTTTGGTTGCAAATTAGCTGTTGTCATAAATGTAAAAGAAATAATAGTGCTGCACCCTGTTGGTAATCCTTGTAACTTTAATGCTATTGAACATCATAGAACAGAACCAACTTGTTTAATTGAAACAGCTGTTAAGATTCATTAATTCCATTTCTCATAAGGTTAACATGGGAAACTCCAGAACCACTGGGGCGGAGCCCTTTTAAGAATTTTGAAACGGGAAATAGTTTACGTCCGATTCGCATACCTACAGAATTTACACACCAAATTTCATAACGATCGGTGAAGTCGTTCCGGAGGAGTTTGCAGACAAACACTGTGACACGAGAATTTTATATATTAGATTATTGGAGTGATTTGTATTGGCTATGAAATAAAGAAAAAGTCCTTTATTTCTTCACAATTCATTTACATCCTGTCATATATACAATAACAAAAAACAATGGTTTATTTAAAACAGGCCCTGCTTTAAATGAACATTATTAAAAAAAAATAAAATAACAAGTATTATTGAAATTTGGCTTGTAAAAAAAAACTGATCATAAAATAAAAGCAATATTAATTTGTATAAATTCTTACTTGTTTTGGCTATGTTTACAGTAGTAAAACATGTCTCGCACTTAACAAAACTTCTTATAATTTGTGATGTCAAAACAAAAAAATCATAAAACAATTAAAGTAATAATTATTTACATGTAAAGAATTAATTAAATAAGAACGCCTTCGCAAAGGAAACGCAACAACAACGCGCTCCGGTATTGCACATTGCATTAACTTTCTTCAGGGGTTTTTAATTTTTTTCTCATATCAAAAAAATCTCGATCAAAATAAAATCTCACGAGATTTAAAGTTTCCCGAAATTTCGAGACTTGTCCATCCCTAAATAGAAACTCAAAACTCATAAACTAATAACAACTGTAATAAATTTAATTGTCGTACATTTGCGAAAAATCCTGAAAAATGCTACAATAGTCAGGGTTACAGCCGACTGAGAATTGAAAGGTCCCCTCAAATCCATCCATCATTGGGGATTTCCATGACCAAAATGTTTTTCCATGACTTTCCATGATTATCCCTGACTTTCCAGAATGTGGACACCCTGCACGATCTTGTAAACATGACGACTATGATCATGGAAAACAGTGATCATGGCTACAAGACCGTGGGATGTATTTTCCATTTTTCCAGAAGACGATGATGATGTTTTTGTTCTTACGGGAGACAGTAATGATTTTGCAAGACCGTGGTAGGTGTGCAATATCGGGAAAAACAATACCTTGTCTAGCTGAATTCTCAGAGTCTGGATTTGTGGGTTTTGTGAGGGACTACGAGATCACTCATCCTACACTCATCTCCATTCATACATGGCATACCTACATTCGTTCAGATTAAGTTTTTAATTTTAAGTATTTTTGTTTTGTACATTTTGTCATTTTGGGTCAAAAATTGATCTGCTTCAAGATCAAAACGGCATCTTTCAAATGAAGTTGAGTTGCAACCAAACCGATCAAAAATTCAAATAAAATTGTTATAAAATCCACCCTGAGAGCAAAATAGGCTAAACTATAGGTAAATTGTCAACACATTTTAATTAGAAAATATAAGTTTATTTTCCTGTACAAACACATATGTGTATTAACTGTGGTCTTTTAAAATTAAATCTAATAATTACACTTTGTATGTTACATATCTATCAATTGAAAGATTCTGTAGATGGTAATAAAATATTATATACAACAATCTAGTTTGCCTTATTTATACAGCAAAGTAACAATGAACAAACACACTGTACAAACAATTATAAAAGTATTTTGTAGCTGGTAGTATAAGGGCTTATACTAAAACCTTGGTTAAAAAAATGATTAAATCATTAAAAGGATATTGTTTTTAATTGGCACGTAGACAACATAAATTATAATAATTTTTAGTTATATTTTATTATACAAACATAATAAAATTGAAAGAAATAAATACCTTAAATTTGAACTGTATCATTAGGTATCAAATCATAAATAAACAACTTATGATACAAATATTTACAATCAATAAAACATGACTAAAAAAACCAATAAGCAAAATTAATTTTAAAAAAACTTTATTAAATCCCACTCTTCCTAAAAAAAAAACAATAACACTAGAGGATTTTCAAAATCGTAGAAAGTGGGAATAAAAACCAAGTCAAAGCAGCATAAAACTATAAGCTCTTTAAAAATAGTCTTTACAGGAACCTTTGTTGTTCCTTTTGATTGTACAAAAATTACCAAAAATACACTTAAGTAGCAGGTGAATTATGTTTAGGCAAACATAAATCGTAAACACAACAACGTTTGATTCAACGATAATACACAATAAGCATAAGCATCGGCAGAATCGTCCGTCTATGATCAAGTGCACAAACTGTGTAGATCAAGGCACTTAAAACGAGGCAGCTGACAAAATCATGAGTGGAACGAATCATTTTCATTTAGTTCTAAAAATACTACATATTATCTAATATTTTGAATATTTAAAAACGTTATTTCAGGATATCTGTCCCAATTGGCTCTTTTATTTTTTTATATGAGGGAATAGTCTTAACCCATTCTTAAAAATGTCTATGCTATAAAAATCATCACTGATCAATAGCTTGAGAACAATTATTTATATAGCTTACAGGTTTTAAACTCCTGATATTTTAATTTTATTTTCATATTATTCAATGGTATTGAGTAGACTTCTTTAGGTACTTTGTCCCTTCTTCTACTCAAAAGGGTAGATAGATATGTAAGGAGTAAAACCATCAATAAGTATTTTCTCCAAGAAAATGTCTAATCAACTTCTAATTCATTCATATTTAACTTTTATTTTGATCCAATATAAATATCAACTGACAGGCATAATCCACAGCCTTAAGCAGTTACCAACAAAAGAAAATTTAAAAACTTATTTAAAAAAAAACTCATCGTCATTTACAAAATAGTGATGGTTTTAAAAAATGGAAGTAAAATTTTATGTAAAAAAAAAATCTAAAATACTTCAGAGATCAAAAATAGTTTAATTCAGACGCTATTAAGTAAAATAAAATATTTGTGAAGCACACAAACAACAAAATAACCAAACACTGAACTCTGTCAACGGCCTCGCCACAACAAGCCTTACTGGGAGGAGGTAACCGAGACTAGACCATCGTAACTAGAGCAGCCCCTCGCACGGGCCGAGAAAATATATACTCTGTATCTTTGTGGACCCTTCCTTCTACGCTGAAGGCCTCGTCAGTCATCCAGATGAGGTTCTACGGACGACTAATCCGTCTTCTGCTGACAATAGAGTTCCTTCAAAGACTTGAGCTCGTCTATTAAGGCCTTATTTTGGTTTTCCAGCACTGCGACCCGATTCTCCAAACACTTAATGTACTCTTTCTTTTTTCTCCTGCACTCTCTCGCTGCTTCTCTGTAAAAAGAAATCATGTTTATTTTCCAATTTCCAGGAACTCTAAAAAATAAATTGTCTCTTTGCCTTGGTATGTGAGCAAGATATTTTATGATCCTATGAGTTTTACTGCAGATTTGACACAGAGATTTTGCTTATCACTATTGCACTGTCATTGTTTATCACTATACTGTCCAAAACCAACAATAAAATTTTCATATTAACATCTTAACTGTGTGGGTTGGTGCGGTGACCATTGATGAGATATACCAGAACCTCCTCAAATACAATCCCAAAACATTTGCAGTGCGTGGCAACTGGCAACATCACACCTAAGGCCATGATAATAACAGTAATAATAAACGTGTAAACGTAAATGCTGCGCAGACGCACTAAGTTAAGAGATTAGTGCAACGGTGGTTTCAGTAGGCCAGGTTTGCGGTGTTGCCACTATTGAATTGCCGAAGCCTTGTATTAAAGGATGACATGGGTATACAACAATTTTGACATTAACTCAATGACCAAACCAAGGACATGACTAACAACAAACAAATGCCCAGTGGCAACGGGTTTGATCAAATTTAAAATCTACTTTCAGTAGTAACTCCTTTATAAATTCATGGTCGGATCTAGTGATTTTTTTCTGACAAAAGAAATGATTGGGGACATTGTGTATGAAAATGTGTTAAAACAACTTTTTACAATATTTCAATGTCCACCTCGATTACCTCGATTTGATCCAGATTCTGAAACTAGTATGAACTAGTCTAAAAATATTTTGGAATTGCCCAAAAGAACATTTTAATAACAGGGTACTTTCCTGTTAAAGGGAACAATCATTATTATCGATGATTTTTTTCGATACATCGATATTTTTTCCGATCAGATGTATTACAAATTGACTACAACAACTAACTGATCTTGTTTAGGCTAAAATAGTCTATATGGATTGAAACTTTTCTAAGCTAACCTAACATAACCAACCAAACTTGCTGTACCATTTAAAACTTCCGTTTGGGTTTGATAATAGAAAAGGCAAGTTAAACACGGCATTTTTAAATGTTACAGCAAGTTTGGTTAGTTATGTTAGGTTATTTTTTTTGAACAGTTTCATATACTGAACAATATTTATCGTAGTTGTCAGCTGATATGTTTCAATTTGTTAATATCGATATATCGAAAAAAATCATCGATAATAATGAATGTTCCCTTTAACAGGAAAGTACCAATAACAGTAATACATTATTAAACACTTTTAAGACCATCTTTTAAAGTAGTTTAAGTATTTCTATCCAATACCTAAATTATAATGATTATGCACTTTTCAAATATACAGAGGGCGGCTAAGGCCCATATTGCTGTATTTTTAGTCTGTGATGACATGAATATTAACAACCATTATATTACAACTATAGTATTGTGTATAAATGTAGAAAAGAAAAGTTAACTTTTAAACACCTTATAGTATTTAATTAAGTAAAATTTGTTTCATAGCGGTGCATCTTACCTGTTTTTGAGTAATCGCAGCTCCCGTTTTCTTGCCTGGTCTTCTGCTATGATGGGACCACCAGAGAGGCTCCCCGACTGAGTAACAACTGCAACATCAAATGCTGATTCACAAACTTATGTAGGTAAAGTTTCAGTAAAAAAGTTTGGGAAACAAGTTTTAGATGTCTGTGGTACACTGACAAAGTCAGTATGGTACAGGTCTGGTATTTGTACCTCACTACTACAGTACTACCTTTTCCTCTGTAAACATTTGTTTCAGTACTTCCTACAACACAGATGAAAGAAGAAAAGAAGTGCTAGTGAGGGCAACTAGCAATATTGGTCATCTATTAACAATAGAAGAGTCAATCAAGTACCTGTGTAGTGAGCATACGATAAAATAGTAATGAACTAAAATTTATTCTAAAGCTCTTTTTGTTTCCCTATTTTCTATATTGTGTATTTATTAGAGATATGTGGAGCATTGTAAGAAGTGCATTCTAAAATCAGAGGCACAAGAACTATCAATATAAACACTTGAGATTAACCTTTTGGTCGCTCATTAATGACTCTATGTGTCACGTTCTGTGTTTTTGTGATGTTGGTGCTCACAGTGGCTGCCTGTGAGCAACAACATACGTAAGCACTGCCAGCAATAACAATTTTTCTTGCACACTATGACGAAGAGAGCCATCAGAACAAGGGAACACAGGTAACAAATGGTTGGTTGGCCTGGCTCCATACAACATTCATGTACAGGGTGTGTCTAGTCTATTTTCATTTAAAAATTCAAGACTAATTCCAGACTTTTCAAGAACAGTTTTTCAACAATAATTATTAGTGATGTGTCGATACCAAATAATCGAATCCCAATAAAGATACCTGAAAAATCAATTCTCAATTCTCTATATCCATACCATTTTTAGCGAATTTCCCATATAGGGAATAAGCTATTACCGTAGGTATCATGGTAAGACCTAGACCCGGGACCGATTTACTTTTTCGTTTTGAGGTCCCCAGAGGCCAAAAACACCATCCGTTCAAATTCATATATATATATATTATATTGTCATGAAAAATAAAATAATTACTAAAAGGGTACTTTGTTATATATGTTTTAATTTTATTATATTAGTAGCCCTAAAAATGCAAGAAAATAATATATATATTTATATATGTGTCCGTTAGCGCGATAACTCGAGCAAAATTGATCCAATTTTGATGAAATTTGGTACAAACGTGTAAACTTACATTTATTCGAACGAGTTCGCGAACCATCATAATCAGACCATGGGATCAGGGGTTTATGGGGGGTTTTATGGGGTAAAAATGGGTTTTTCTCATTTTTGACCCTAAAAACATTAAATTTCTAAATTTCTCTCTAGACCATTTTGAAGAGCTTAAAAAAACAAATAATTTAGTATATTGAAGTGTTTTTGAATGTCCATTGACTACGGAGAAAATTAAAAAAATTGTAAATTTAAAATTCCCATGTTATTCTTATGGAGAATAAATAAACTGTTCTAGTTTGCTTGTTTATAGATATATTTTAATCAAATTCGGCAATTTGGTTTATTTCATACTAAGCTATCAATATTTCAATTGAAAAAACACACCTCAACATCTTCCCCGTAGCAGCAATAGGAAATAAATCTGAAAATTTATAGGGAATATTTTAGTAGAAATTAGGGATGGACGAGATTGGATTTTTAGTTCGAGACGAGACGAGACGAGATATTTTATTTCTCATAAAATTTTGAGACGAGATCGAGACGGGATTTCCCTTCTCATACACAACGGGAATGCACATTCAAAATTTTTACCTGATTTTGTAACATTGTTAGATGACTGTTTAAATACAAAAATAATGATAATAGGCAAGAATATTTACAATTTTTTATTAAATAACATCAGCATAACATTTTTTTATTAATCACGCCTAACTAATTAAAAATGCCTACGATTAGGAAACATAGTGATATCAGTTAGGATAGAGTTCAACTTATCCTAAAATAAAATAAATCATAAAATAAAAGCAATATTAATTTTTATAAAATAGTTACTTGTTTTGACTTTTTATAGTAATAAAACATCCTCACATTGCTTACACTTAACAAAACTTCTCATATGTTATTAAAGTAATATTATTAAAATAATTAAAGTAATATTTACATTTAAAGAATTAATTAAATAAGAACGCCTTCGCAAAGGAAACGCAACTACAACACGCTCCTGTATTGCGGGTATTGCATTGACTTTCTGCAGGCGTTTTAAATTTTTTATTTTTTTTTATTTTTTTTTTTATTCTTGTCTTGATAAAAATCTCGGCCAAAAAGAAATCTCGTCTCGTGTAACGAGATTTAAAATTTCCCGAAAATTTCCCGAAATTTCGAGACTTGACCATCCCTAGTAGAAATCAAGCCGGGTAAATGGAAATTCGCTTAGTATGCAGGTTTGCTGCGACGGGGGTATTTTAGTTTTAAAAAATTTTCTAAATAATTAGTCATCATCGTCTCCCGCAGTCACGGAAACATGATTGTCGTCTTGAGTGATCACAACAAAATCATTAATATTTTATTAGATTTTACATGGTCCATAAAATTCCTGACTGTGACAACAAAATATAAACTAAATCCCTATTCTCAAGACCATATTTAAAATCAATGCTGATTCCCAACATTCTCGTTTTTCCCAACTACTAGACATCCTGCACATAACAATTCGACTTATTTTCCCGGTTGCTGTACACCCTATCATGCCACTCACCAGGAACGTAGAACTGCCCGTCCTGGCCCTGTGTGTACTGCACCAGCGTGCCACTGCCCGTGGTGGCGTTGGTCATGGTCAGGGTATGCAGCCCCGTCACCGCCTCCCCTTGACTCGTCAGCTGGATCGTTCCTGCCGGAATCACTGCAACCGTTAATCTCCATTCAAACACTACCCTTTTAAACAGTAGCGTTGGAACGGGATCCCTTCATACTGATAACTAAGGTAGTAAGAGCCACATTGTTAAGTTTATAGCTAAGAGAGGTAAATTCTGTTTTTTTTTTCCTTTAGGCAGCTGAAAATAGAGCCTTGAGAATGTAAAGGATTGAACCAATGCATCTCAATATGTGTTGCCAACTGTTGTAATTACCTACACTGTTTTATTTTACAAGGGTATATTTTCACATTGGTTAATGTACTAGTGGTATTAACTCAATGTTATACTTTACACTGATTACAAAATGAGCCACTTGATTCTAGGTATTTAAGATATGTTTTTTTTTTTGTCAAACATTAATTTGATATCAAAGCAAATCATCACTGTTCAGCTGTTCCACAGGGATGAGAAATCTACTAAGGGAGTGTAATTTATCTACATGACGAAACCAAGAATTTTTGGGGAAAACAGAATGCTCCAAGATGACCTTAGGCTTGCTTATACCAATTTTATATCACAAAATATTTACTAACTAACCTATAATAGTAAAAGGCCTCCAAAACTAGTACTACTAATTGACAATGTTATGTTTCATATCTTCTTTCACTCAAAATTACAACTAACCCTATGATGAATACCAAACTTGTTGCTTTCATGTTTTACTTGGGCAAATAAGGTTACATCGAATTATAGTTGGTACAATCTACAAACAAAATTACCTGTTTGATAATGTGTTGGAAGAGAATGTGACGAAAGCTCAGAGTCAAGATTTGAATCACAGTCTGACCCCGACGACTCCACTTTGCCGCCGCCTATACACAACATTTAGTCAGTTGACGGCTCACAAAACAGGCCTATCTTACACAGTCTACAGTATTGAATGGGAACCTTCATGATACAGTTAACCTAAATCCAGATGTATTAGCGCTAAGTTCTGCTGTATACTTTCCTTAGGATTATTTTACAGAAAAAGAAACCATTTTACATAACTAACAAACCTAAGAAAAAAGTACCTGGGAATCGATAGTCAAGTGTTTACAACATATTTGAACATGCTGTTTCGCTATTCTAAAGGATCTTCTGCTTTTATTACGTTTTTTTTTATAAAAAAAAATTTTGGTGGGGAGGTGCAAAATAAAAAGTTGAATACTAACTTTATGAGTGCTTGGAACTCTTAACAGGAATTAGGAGTGCAGTGTTTTACTTCTAAATTCTTCTATCATAAAACTACTTTGCCTTAAACTCCAAGTACTTGTGCATATAAAATATATACTTGTTTCAAACCTGAGAGGTACAAAAAGACTATCAATATATCAAATTCTTTTTAAAATGTTGGGAGTTTAAACTTTTCTTCGTTCTTCGTTTACCCAAGTTATGGAGTAGTACTTACCAGTTTAGCAAATTATTTTTCTATACCTAATTATTTTATTAGTCTATTACTGTGTCTTAATCTACATACACTACACTCTCGATTATCCGAGCCCCGTTTATCTGAGCCTTCGGGTTATCTGAGGTCGTTTTAGGCATAAATATATTTATATGAATATATTCGGGTTTGGCAGGTAGGCCTATATATTTTATTTTCAGTCGGAAACAATAATTACTGTATAATGCTGTATTTTTTTGTTGGATACAATTTTACATAGTAAGTCATTTGTAATTTTTAATACTTGAAATAATCATTAAGTTCAACGTAAGAATGATCAGCAATACAGTAACCTAGAAAATGAAAACCACACAATATGCTACTCCTAGTAGGTTGGACGGCAACCGTTAGCAAGCTGGACGAATCGTCAGCAGAACGTAAACAATTGTAGTTATTGGCAGTGTCAGTCTTTGTCATTGTCTCGATGTTTGTAGACACGATTGTGTCAGGTTATAGCTCCGCTCAAACAAAATGTAATTTTATGCTTTTCAAACTAGAAAGATGCACTATTAATGTTGTGTTTAAAGAACTGTGGTGTGCTTATGGTTTGACATAATTCTAACAATACTGAGTTCTAAGTTTTTCAAGACGACTGAAGAAATGTTGAGCATGTTTGTATTTTTTCTTTTAAGACTACCATATTAAAAAAAAAATCTTGCATAAAAATTCCATATTAATTATTTTTTGTTTCCTGTGTATTGTTACAACTTGTTTTTCAAGTATTCGACTTCACAATGTGGACTGTAACCAAACTCAAAATCTATGCAACCGCAGTGTTTTCCGAGATTCTTGGTAACCGAGGTAGTCTTGGTCCCTCCAACCTAGGTTAATCGAGAGTGTACTGTAGTTAACATATTACAAAATTAAGAGAATTTCCTTTGTTTATTATGTGGTAGTTATAAATGCACCATCACCTCGAGCTAGGCTAATCCCACAAAACTCTTGAAATGTATTACATTCAAGTTGTACACCAAATATAAACTAAACTGTGCACCAGAAGTTAGATAACCAACAGTGCTACCAGGATTTGTGGCTTCATTAGCATTAATTAGTATAGCATTCAACTGTTTTACAAATAAAACAAAATAAAAAATTAAACAGAACCTCACCACAACAAAAGAAACCAAAGTTAACTGAATTTATATGAAATTTAATCGCATTAAAACTCAAAAGACTAATGTTATAATTAAAATAAATAAAAGCAAAACAGACCAAATAGAGGTTTGAAGAAGGAGGAGGAGGTAGTCTTGCTACCTGTGATTTCCTCCCCTCCTAAATCGTTTAGGATTTTGCGGTACGAAGGTCTTCTTGTCAGAATGTCCCGTCGCTTCCGTGTTGTTGTGTCTTCGTCATTAGACAGACTGTCGTCTGAACCTGCCTCGACAACCTGCCAACAACACCAGACTGTTACTTTACATACAGATCCGTTTAAGTAGTTACGGTAAAGGTGTACTGTGTTAAACCTTGATACTCAAAAAAAATCTTATTTTAAAACTTGAGAATAAACCGTAGGTTTTTTTTTAACATGTAATTTAGAAATTAATTTATAAAATAGCTCATAAAAATATTACAGGATGTTTAAAAAGTTAGATTGGGCTTTCATGCGCTCTACATATTTTTATAAAAGATTAATGAGATGAGATGATAGCCTCGATCTGATTACGGTCAACTGGAATATGGTGATCAAAAACAGCTGTGTCTAATTTTGGGCCCTACAAAAGTTATTGACTTTAATTACTAGATGAGTAGGCTACACTACTTCAATAAATGTAAAGTGTGTCAGTTGTGTAGGTAGTTGAAAAAAATTATATGAATTAAAATAATTTGGCTCAAAATTTATTTTACTTGTGGTTCTTGCAAGTAAGTTCTTGATAACATTCGTATGATTACACAGAGTTGTAAGGTGGATTAAGGTACCACTACCTGAAGTGTCTGCAGATTGCCTTGTGCTGTCTGGATGACGGAGTTGGGTTTGCCTACCAATATCACATTACCCTTGGCAGTTGTCAACACAGGTAACTGATTGTTGGCAGACTGTATCACTGACTGTTGGTTGCTTTGGATTACCGACTGTCCCTGCAACATTAGACAAAACACTGCTATCAAAACAGCACATCACAGAGCAGTACAGCCGAAAACTATAATTGTATGTTTGGATGCTTTTAGTGTAGACAAGCCTTGTTATTTACGCATGGATCAAAATAAAAAGCAAACATGTTTTAAATGTTCTCTTTTGAAATAGCTCTGTCAAAAGTGCTACAAAAAAAATTCTGAAAAGATTTCATGAGCGGTTGAGCGATGGCCGGCCGCAACCAGTGGCAGAAACAGCTAATGCGCTGCGTGGTTGAGTCAGCGAAAACGTTTTAATTTAGTTTCATCCAAATAAAAGGCATGTACTGCATTCTAGTCATTGTGGACGTAGTTGTACAAGAACCCGACAGATAGCAGTACTAATCAAAACTGCTCCTCAGTATTGCCAAATTGTGGGAAAAAGCAGAGGAGAAAATCCTGGATACCCCATAAAAAATATTGCAAAAAAGGCGTCAAGCATAACTTTGAGGTTAGGTTCCTTCCACAATGCTTCACTACAGTAATTAATTATTATCATTATTTTGTTCCATTTCACTAAATCCAAGCCAAAAAAACATACACTAAATTTTGGAATAGTTCCTCCATTGATAAAGTATGCGGATCTGAAAACGAATTAGGCTATACTGGATTAAAAAAACTGGCACAACACTCAGCAATTGGACACAAGGTTCCCGTTCCAGGCTGAGCTCACACTGAAGCAAGGTTGTTGGCATGAGAGGACGATATTACCCAGTGGTTCCAGTGGTGCCGGTTTCACTGGACAACAAATCCCACTCCGTCCCAGTGGTTTCGGTACCACTGGCAACAAATTCCACCCCGTGTGCTTAAAATGTTTACGACTTTAACTATGTAGGACTACATATTATAGTTTTATTAGATATAATAAAGACTTCTTGTTTAAAAGGTCTTAACAAACAGAAAGTAAAATTATAAGGATAGCCACCTACATAAGTAACAATTGGCCTAGCAAATAAGATACAATGATTTGTAGTTTAAATGTTGCTTTTTGTTGTGTTGAATATACATACTGTAGAAATGACTTTAGGTAAAGTATAACATTCCTGAAAACCCTAAAATAAATCAAGCAGATTCAGTGCTACAAGACACCAAAAACCTAAAGATATCGATAAGATAGGGTAGCCTATATGAGAGAAAATCGCGCATTTAAGAATTGTGGCCTAATGCCGATAATTTAAACATGATTTTTTTTTATTTATTTACTAAATCGTTCTGTATGACCTCTTTCTGTTCAAAGTGATAAGAAGAAAAAAATAGAAACGACTTTTTGAAAATCCCACAAGAAGCATTTTGGTGAATTGAGACCATCATTAGTGTTGAAATTAATGTGAGGGTGATTAATTGGATCTCTGGCATATCTACAAATATTGTAGGTGTTTTGGCCACTTTCTCTTCATAGTATTAATAATTGTCTTCTTAATTTCGGTCTTTAAATACGTGAATTGTTGAGAGCACCAATTTGATTATCAAACATGGATAAAATGATTACTTACAGATGATAGGTTAAATTTGATTGATTTATCTTAAAACTACACTATTAAGAATTTTACCTACTAATTTAGCGTGTTATCATTCAACTGAAGGTAAAAATTTCTTTCAACTAGATTAAAACATTAAAATACCTGATTAAATAAAACTTACAAAATAGTAGTCAGGATCATAATACATGCTATCCAACATTGTGCTGCAAATATCTCATGACAGTAATAAATAAATAGTCGGAGAAACTCACTAAGAAGCAAATTACTGTATTTGGTAGCCAGTCAGTAAATCGTATAACCTAGCGAGGTGCTGTAAAAAATATGCCACGAACTAACCACTTAATCAATTAGAGGTATGTTTTATAAATGTCAATATTTGTTGAGTTCACATTTAGTAGAGAGATCCAACCACTCTACTCGTATAAATAAAATGTTAAAACAGAATCTTTAGTAACCAAAAATCGAATCATACTTTTAAATATTTTACGAATCATTGTCATTTAAATATTTTCAAATAAACAAAATAGGTAATTAAATTTTAACTTTTCTGTGCCACAATATGATAAATGGAGTAACAAAACTCACTCAATTGAGGTTATCTAGTTAATTTATAGCAATCCAACACAATTGGGACTAGGACTTAGTTTAACTATGACAAATTAGGCTATGAATTACTGGAGTTTTCATGTAGGGTTGAATAAAACCAAAGAAAAGCTAAGGAATTAATACAGCTAAGAACTGATACAATTTCAAACTGTTGGTTGGATGCAAAGTTTAAGAACTGGTGTTCAGATGTCGAGACTTGTACAAGGGTTTGTTAGCGGCAAGACCTGACAATGACGGCAATGTGGCGTGCATCAAAGCGCGGTTACCGAGGTGCGTAAAGTAGTGGCAGTGCCTTCCGACGTATTGGGAGTATATCAGAATAGTGCTAAAGGTTGTTAATTGTTTCTGGGTGCTAAAGTTACTTTATTACAGAATGTATAGATAAATTGTTTATTGACTTACATTGTGGTGTGTCCAAAGCGAAACACTAGAAAAGCGATTGAAACAACCTACTCATTATATTCCCATTCACAACTTTCTTACTTTTGACACGACAGTGTGAGAAGAGTATCGATGAAACACTGTAAATTAATGGATACTTGGACATAGGAAATCAAGAAAATCACTAAAAATTTAACTTCCATACAGGGCACCTGTTCAATTCAAACTATTTCCCGGCCAATAAAATGCACGTACGATTTGCAGTAGGCCTGGTAATAGTAGGTATATTTAGTTACCAAACTACAATATTTGCAATTTATGTAATCTGAAACCTAAGTCACAATGCTCTTACCACTTTTAATTTTAACTTGCAAGGGTGGTGCCTATGAAACGGAATGGGCCAAAATTAACCGTCGATATTTATATTTTCTTATATATCCCGGTCAGACAGACCCGTTCTCTATTGATTTTTCATCAAACGATTACGAAAATCACCTTTCACACAATGAACCATCACTATTTTTGTTCAATGGTATTTTATCTAAATAATGTAATACTAGTGAACCTGTTGCTCGAATTCGAGCAATTGCGAAGCATTACAGGCGACTCAAAGCTTATGGAAATACTCACGATCTACACAACAATTAGATACATCAAAATCTTTTGTAAATATCTTATCTTTTTTCAAAAAGCTTATCTTGTTTTTTTAGTGTTTTCTACAAATTTTTCCCTCTCATAGCCGCATTAGGTTGTCTATGACAACGATTATAAATGAAAAAAAATTATTTCTATTTGTTCTACTTGGTTCTGTTCTATTTGACTTTTTCTATGTTTCCATTGTTTGCAAATCGATTATTTCAATGATTGCTCAAGAAATGTAGAACAGTGTTAATTCAGTTTTATTTTTAGCCCATATCAAATTGTCCAGGATTTCTCGCTCTTTTCCATTGTAATAATTACACTAACCCAAGTTTCGTCTACAGATGCAATATGCCAACGAATATCACCTACGTACAATCTCCAAGAAGTGGTAAAAAAGGCAGAAACCAACCCATACAATAGATATAAGTTAACTCCAAAAGAAATAATTTTAAGAGTTACTGTGATATTAAGATTTTCCACTGATTTGGTAATAGAACATTATATTGCAAAACATGACACGATGCAGAAGAAAATCCAATTTATCAATCAGAAAAACCCATTGCAAATACTGTACTTCATTTTGACAAATTCAATAAATCACAATTTAAATATTAACAGCTGTTTCATTAAAAAGTAGTGTAGAATTATGCATATGGTTGTATTGTAAACAAATCTGAAGAGGCAACTTTAAAGGCTTCTAGAGCCCCAAGGGAATTTACCTCGTTCCTCTTTTGATGGTTCATCTACAGACCAAGACCTTTCTTTACAGACCTACCAAGTTTCTACGCCCAGCCGTTCTCTCAAATTAGCTGTGACAAAAACCCCGTTTTCCTCCATAAGAATAACATGGGATGGGAATTTAAAAGCCACTGGGGCAGAGCACCAAGGGAATTCACCATTTTTCTCTTTTGATGGCTCATCTACAGACCAAGACCTTTCATTAGACACCTCTACCGAGTTTCTACACCCAGCCGTTCTCTCAAAATAGCTATGACAAAGAAAAACAGTTTCAAATTAATATATAGATATCTTTCTGATAGTTTTTAAAGCCTGCCCCCCAAAACAGTAATTTAGACAAAAATTGATTTTGTTTGTTTTTTTCACAAACTCCATAGTCTACCATTAGTCATTTCATTTTTTAAATATAATAATGTGCTAAGGTACCTTCTGAGGCTGTGTGTTGTATGTGACTATGGTCGCCTCACGTACGTTGGTGACCGCTATGGGGTGCGGGCCAGGAGACGTCGCTAACGGGTCACCGTTCCCTGAGCTCCCATTCTCTTCCACCATCCCGTCCATAAGCCCTTGACAGGTCCTATAACATAACAAAAATAGAACATCAAACGGTGTATCATGGCAAAACTACAACAGTAACGGCACCAAAATGATTACCGTACGTTTTATTTAAAGTGGATATATAATACACAGACGGTTCTTCCTGCTTTAGATTTTTGAAGAAAGGTTGATGATGAATCAACCTTTCAGGTCTGGTTGCAGCTGACAGATCACATGCAAAAATAGGAATTTTTTAAGAAAATTTAGTTCAACCCTTACCAAAATTTCGGTCTAACAGGCCCAACTGGCCCATGGGAATTTTCACAAACGAATGTTGGCAACACTGTTTATGGGGGGATTCCATTCCCCCAATACCTTTTCCTCCCCTACCTGTTGATATATTGTTTGTTCATTTTGCGTGGGTGTCGTGACCTTGATAAGTTCTCTATTCATAACATACCCGTCTCAGAAGCCCATCGTTAGTGTATTTTAAAGTGGAGTCTCACAGGCCAAGGGTTTCGGTTTGTGTGTTTCTAAGCGGGGTCCATTATTTTCAAATGGGATCCCATAGACCAGGGATTTCGGTTAGCGTCAGCCTGGGTAGGGTTTCGGTATTAGTCAAGGCCATACTAAAAAAACAGGCCGTAATGCTCGTCAAGCATGACGTCACGATAGAAGACGGCAATGACGTAATGTTTGCCGTTTGTGATCAGCTGCTTGTTTTAATCTTTCCTTGGAAAATAAATAAATAAATACCTACGTCATTCGTCTTCTATCATGAAGTCATGCTTGACGAGCATTGTTTTTAGTGTGGCCTTGTATTAGTGTTAATTGTTGAATATTTGACACTACTTTAAAGACTTTTTACTTAATATTTAAAATACTCATGTAAGTAAGAAATGTAGGTTTATGTGTAAAAATTTGTCTGTAATGTATTCATTTTATAAAACCCATTACAAATTTCAATATTCTGGATTTAACTGACAACCCCTAAACTCGACAACCACTGAGTCCACAAATTATCGAGTTAGTGAGGTTTCATTATATTATTCATTTGGCAAACAATTTGAAAACAAATCAAATTCTACTAACAAACCAGCAATTATTGCTAGTTTAACTCTTAAGTTAACAAACTAGTCGATCAAATAATTTAATTGATGAACCCAAAAATATATTTTGAACAAGCGTAGACATATCATCAAAATATGAACCCAATAGTTCAATAAACCATTCCTGTATAATTTATAATTATTGGCAGATTATGTTTTGTGGTCATGAATTAACCTTAAATTTGAATGGCCAAGAATTACTTGCTTACTCACTGCACAGTGAGAGAGATGTTAATACTACTCTATACACATTCAGGTATGCTAATATCTCTCCCAAGGTTGTCGGAACTCTAGTGCTAGTAACCTGACACCGACACCAGTTATAATCAGACTACCTACTTTACTGCTTCCTTCAACAATTATTGTAATCATTTGTATTGAGCTATACTTTGTTTTCACTGGAGTCAGTTGTTCAACTCGGAGGAAGATTTCAATTTTTACATCTATTTTTGAATTATTGATAGGTCAAAATCTACAGGGTATGCTGCAAACCACCTACTCGAGCTATTGATGATTGGTTGTTATGTTTTGTCTACGGTTGCATTTTATGAATCATAAACAATGGGAATGCAGTCCATGCCCCAAAAACCTCTTTCCTTTGTTATATGACCAGGGATTTAATCAGTCACTCTTGCGCCCAAGTCCAAAATTATAACCACTAGTTTTAACAATGTATTAAGCTTACATTGTGCCCTTTGAGTGTTTTGATTATTCATTTGTTCAATGTAGGCTACATCAGATTTAGACACACATAAGTTTCAATGAGACAGTTTTTTTTTTTTTTTTTTTTTAATAAACTTTAATACTTCATAATAATATAAACATTAATAAGGTTATTAAAATAATTATTGATAGGGAAAATAATGACAAAATCATTATATAATTTAGTTAAACGGATTTTCAGTATAGTTTATTTATAAAATATTTTTTTATTTCCCATGTGATGGTGAGCAATGCTTCAAATATACCTAAATCACAAATATTACGATTCGTAATTTGTAACCTTCTAAATGTTGTTAAATGATGCTGGACTCAAACTTTCTAGAAACACATTGAAAATAAAATGGATAAAACATTCAAATTACTCTTGCGTTCATTTTTAATGCAGAAAAACACGTCAACTCACAGACATTCAGTGAAAATCAATTAATTACGCGGCAATCGCTTGTTTTGCTCACAGTTAGTCGCTGGTGCAGAAGTATATTTGTGAGAGAGCCTCAAGGCCACAGCTCACTCATTATCTATGACTTTGTCTCCTCAGATAACTTTTGTTTGTTTGCTGTGCCTAGTGACTCAGTAAGAAACAATACTTGTTCACTCTCATTGAGAGTGAATTTGGTTTGTACAAACCCAAATAAATTGAAAAATCATTTGGATGTGGAATTTTAGTTCGTAAAAATTAAATTTCAACTTAAGTTAATACATAGGTACATAGGTAACCAAAACTCGGGTTAACCGAAACGGTTCCAATAAAATAATAGCCTACAGAGTTAAAATAATACGTAATGTAAAATGCTTCAGTAACTTTAGTTGTTTATTTTAAAGTATTATCTAACCCTTTTCAACATTTCTATAGCTGAAATAAAACACTGTACAGTATTAAATATAGAGATTAAAAGAGTTTTAAATTCATTTTTCCTACACACCGTGGTAACAAACAGGCTATTTTTAGCTTATGACGGGTTAACCGAAAAATTGGTTATTATTATCAATGCTCTCCCCCTTTTATATTGGTTTTAAAAGCGGTTCTACTGTATTTGAATAACATTATTTTACACTTTACATACATTGCAACTCCGCTGAAGTAAAAAATATGCTGTAATCCACCCCATAGGAGATTTTCAATCTGAATTTTAAATGCACTTAGTATAGTTTACCATTTTTGAGCAGTTGGGAAAATGGCGGGCTGGCGACCTATACTCACCATTCGACCGCAAAGGGTTAAGGGCAGGATTTGAACCCGGGAGTCACTTCGATTGACGCCAGCGTGAAGAGTTTTGTGGTCATTCATTATCTGACCTATGTTAGAAGACGCATTACAATAGCGAATGTTGTAAAATTATACCTACATGAAACAATAGTTAAGTCAAAATAAATTAGCTCAAATCTGCTTCCTGATAAATCTAAAAACAGGTATGAGTTAAGAGTTTAGGAGAGTATTCCGTTTAATCTTCTCATGAATTTCACCACTCGACATTGAATTTGTTATTCATTTTGTAGTATAACATGTTCAATAATGGTGTTAATCTGATTGTTCATTTCTTTTCGTCTGTATGAACATATGTTAAAATTATTTTATTTACGTTTATGCCCCATTATAGCGGAATAGCATAGCACAAGGATTGTGTTAAATTTACCAAAGTTTGTATGGTGTGCATATTATGGCGATAATACATTTATCCTGGTTATGCCACTATTTAACTTTTTCAACTTAATTAGGAATAAATTATCATTTTTATAATAGGTTGGTGGTTGGTTTATCCGGCCAAATCGTTATCCGTCCGGGTACTTAGTCACTTGGTGGCCGGGCGGATCTAAGGGGTTTCTACTACATATGCTACTCTTGATGGCCAATCTATCGGCTCTTGAGCTCAAATAGAAATTTTGTAACTAGGATGTTTTTGTCACATTCTGTAAAGTAAGCAGTTACTTTTTCATTTATACCGACAACAAATTACACAAAACACTTTGAATATATGGTACCAAATGAGTTTTGTAAAAAGTTCAATTGTAGCCAGTTCAATTATACACCAATCCCTAGATAAACAAAATTATCAGCCATGCAGTTAAGCCTACTGATATTTTTATAGAGACTCGCTTTAACATAGAACCAATGACGCCTTTGATTGCCATCTCACATTCACTATTGCTGATAAGAATTCACTAATATCATTTAACTTACAGTTTAAGCGTTCACTCCCAATGGCTAAGAAAGCTACATAAACAGTCAATTTAGTGTCTTAACAACACTACACAGTTTGAAATAATTCATGCCGTTTTCATTTTAACAAATTAAGTAATAAACAACTTAACTATAACAAGTTTTTTTTTTATTTTACCGGTAATCGTTTATAGGCTATAATATCCTATCTACTACGCTTTTCATCAGAATATTGGTTTTTGAGTTAGAAGCAATAGTATTACCTATTATATTGATTAAACACTAAAAAGCTTCACAAAAAAATTAAAATCAGTTAACACTCACAAATTTGAGAAGGTTTATATTTTAGTAAATAGGCTGTTTTTTTTTTATAAGCCATCACAAAAGATAATACCTTTAAAGCTGCTTTAATTTTGTATGAAAGGGAAAAAATCTATTTTATACATTTTTTAACAGACAGCAACAGGCTGTAGCAACATGGTACTGGTACTTAAAATAGTTTGTCAACACAGTTGTCTTCACATTAGATTTACAACTTAAAAACCAATTTAAAGAAAAAGGTTTATTCTTTTTTGTTATTCTTTATGTGCCTCTCAGCCAACTGAGGGGCGGAGCGAACAAAATAGTAAACAAATAATATTTGTTTCTAAATAAGATTTAAATTTTAAAAATAGGCCTTATAAGATAACTTAAGAAAACTTTTAATGATCCATACAACACTTCATGATAGATTTGCTGTTTTTGTTTATGCTTTTAATTCTTCCTATTAAAAATTGCTCATTTAGCAAGTATGCTAGTTTTAAGTTATCAAATTTAAATTTGTTTCTTAAATAAAGTTTGGCTTCAATGTATTTAGTCATTATTTAGTGATTCAATAACAAAGTTTGCTTAAGGTAATTAAAAAAAGAGTGAAATAAATGGTTTAATGAAAAGATAGAAAGTTTGTTTTATAATAATAGTATTGGTGTATTGGATAATGAGCTAACTTTTTGATTCTACGCTCAATTAAACGGCACTGATATTTTAATCATAGCTACCCCAAAATCAGAATTGGTCTTTGAATCAAAATATTATACAGGGTGTCCATAAAAAACGTTTCAGGACTTTGGGAAATGAATCCCCATACTAAAAGGAAGAAAAAAGTTTATGGGAAGGTATGTCCTAAAAAGCATATTTACCCAGATATCCGCCATATTTTGTTTTTTATACAAAAATATTTTTCTGTGAAGTTGTTTATTCGATGATTATGAAATTTGGGAAAAAATAATAAAGTTAGCCGGGGAACCCTTAATTTTTGCCTTATTTTTACACAAAAAAATCTTTTGTCCGATCTTTTTGATCTTGGTATCGTTTGATAGGAAATTAAAAAAGCTAAAAAAAGTATTCTTGACATTTTTCATAGAATTAGCCGTTTTTGAGTTAGAAAAATTCAAACGGCCGCCATTTTGAAATTTACAATCGGAACAACTTTATTATTTTTTCTATTATAGGTCTTGTTACCATACGGTAACATGTTTACCAAATTTCATAATCATCGAATAAAAAACAGATAAAAATATTTTTCTATGAAAAACAAAATGGCGGATATTTGGGTAAATATGCATTTTCGGACTTACCTTCCCGTAAACTTTTTTCTTCCTTTTAGTATGGGGATTTATTTCCCAAAGTCCTGAAACGTTTTTTATGGACACCATGTATATATACAAAATCTTCTAGCCAAGAAAATTCTTTTTGTTCTTAAGCAAAAAATGAGGGAAAAAGACATACCAAATAGACACGTTATCTTGTAACAGTTTTATTTTGAGATAACTTTCGACGAAATCACCTAGGCTACCTTTTTGATACAGAAATAATAATACAGTTCACTTAGAACAGTTTAAACTTAGCCTATTCACAATAAAGCAGTTGAAAGAGAAAACAAAAGGCTGATGAGTCACTTACAGTTGAGTCATATATGATCAGCTGTGTAATCATACTGTGGATCAACCCACACTATGTACAACATTGAAATCATTGATCATTGAACACCAAGCTTACTACAGTTTTCATTTCCTATCATTGTTGTTTTGTTTTTAAACTTATTATGGCCATGTTTCATCATATGCTTTAAAACTATGATTTATGACTTTATAAAGGAAGAACGTCTCAAAAGACCAACTTCTTGCCAACCCTTTTTAATCACATTAATATATATAGTGTTTTTCTTTAACTTAATTCTAATTCATTTTAATGCCAAAACAAAAATGGGTATCATAGTTGAATTTGACTTTTGAGAAGTGGTTACTCATAATTATATTTAGGCCTACACCTACCGTGAAAAGATGTGTTATCCATTTAACACGTAGGCTACACCGCAGTATTAATTAGTATTATAGGCCTACCCAGTGCTCGAATTGTAGGGGAACGCGGAGTAACGGAGTTCTGGTACCTCTCTTTTGGAATGATAAAAATATTGCCATAAATAGGTACTAATCACATTAAATAGGATACAGTTCCGGCACTTATTTTTTGTACAATTCAAGCACTGTGCCTACCCCCCAAAATGCTAGAAGTTATTCAACATTTTCAAACTATAACTTAGGTCTAAGTATTGGCCTGCCGTTGTAGAGTTTTTGCCAGCCTACTCAAATTGTATAGAAATTTAACTTAATCATATCATACGCCTATGTATAAAAATGTCTATGTATTAAAAGTTTTTACATTAAGTAACGTATTTAAGGGCATAATAATAATAAACGGAAAACCACAAAATACAACCGTAAGAAAAATACAACCTTTTATAAACACTATTTCACACTATTCAGTAGGCCTAATATTCATGCATAATAAAATACATGAAGATTACTGTTAAATATACACACACAAATTTCTCTAACACTATACTAAATAATAACAAATTTAGTAATAAATCACGGATAACACGAGAGTGAAAACTCGCCAACAACAACACGCAATGGCGAATATAAGGCACTTTGTGTATGAGACCTTGACAGTGGTGACGCACTATCGTCGTCTTCCTAAGAGAAAACGGAAATAACCATAAGCAAAGGGCTGCCACTCTCAAAAGCTTCATTTCTTCCTCTTCAAAATGACATATTATATGACTAGTAATAATAACTTACACTGTATATAATTTGTATTTTCCGTACTACTGTACCATAACGTATTTCGCTGGTTGGCCATTTGTTATAGGCCTAAATTTTGAAAACGGCTGTTTTAATAAAATCGTACACTGTTGTTCAATCAACATTTCGTTCTGATGAAAATTACCCGAGCAGGGTAATGCCAAAAAAGTTGTGTTTTAACAGTTCCCACATGTCAGCTGCAAAAGTCGTGCCGCGCCAAAAATGCATTTGATTTCTAATCGTCATGGCATTGTTATATACCTTCTACAGGACTTGTTTATTAACACAGTCCTTGGTCTTCTGGGTACGACCGCGTCGGAAAACTAGGAGAAACACTAGTTGCTGACGTTTCGGCTTCGTTGCAGATAGCCATCTTCAGAGCTGGTGACAGGCACTAGTTAGAAAATATTGTGATTCTTAATATACCCAAGTTTCACCTGAAATGCATTCATGGTTATACCGAAATCGTTGTCACAAGTCATTCGAACCCCGTTTCCTGTTACGACCGAGTTCTGACTACACTTAATCGAGTTCAACGAAGCCGAAACGTCAGCAACTAGTGTTTCTCCTAGTTTTCCGACGCGGTCGTACCCAGAAGACCAAGGACTTTGTGTTAGTAATTGTGACCGTGGAAGCCTCACTTCCTATGTAAGGACTTGTTTATGTAGGCCTAATCAAATGAAAGTTCAGGTGATCTTTCGAGTGGTACCGTATATACCTATATTGTTCACATCTGAGTTGATTATAATTTTTTTTTACCGTTAAAAAATTTTCAGCCTATACTGTTGCATTACAATGGTGGCCATTCTAGGCGTCACAGCGAACGATCGTATTACGATCGTTGGCCACTGCTAGGATTATTAATAGGCCTATTTTACAACCACACAAACAAAACTTAAGTTATCGCATGCTCACTTGACGTTAAATATGTTATACTTAATGTAAACACTTTTAAGAACATTTTATACATAGGCGTAGGATCTGATTGAATTAAATTTCTATATACAATTTGAGCAGGCTGGCAAAAACTCTACAACGGCAGGCCAATACCAAAGTTATAAGTTAACCTAAGTTACAGTTTGAAAATGTTGAATAACTTAGGCGTAAGTTACCTTAACTTATCTCAGTAATTGAGAACAACAAGTTTGGTTTAAAGATATTTTAATTGAATCAATCAAAAAGAGATTTTAAGTAGGCCCTAACCCAAAAACATGGGCCTAAGTAATAAGTTAACTTAAGTTAATAAGTTACCGTACAGGTCTAAGTTAATTGTTGAGATATTGTCCAGATATTTTTCTGAGCTAAGTTACTGATGGTCCTCTTTCAATAACTTACTCTCACTGGCATCTTTCAGTTTACCCAAGATTCATTGTTGTGTTACCGGTATTACTTAAGTTAACATATACGCCACTGTTTATGACAACTCAGCCTAAACAGACTCTATTTTAAAAAGAGCCAACCCTCTATGTTAGCCTATGTTAAACGGTAAGCTACCAACAACTTTTAAAAAGAACGTGCGGCAAAAAAAACCCCGAGTGTGCTGTAGGCCCTATCTACCCTGTAGCTTGGGGGGTTGTGCAGGCCTAAGCCTATCAGGTTTATCGTTTGGTTATTTATATGAGCAAACTTGTGATTGTGACGTGAAAACAATTTCTAAGGAAACACGAGAAAGGTAAAAAAGTTATTTGAACCATATCAGTTCTCCATCAAGAATAGGCCTATTCTTATCATGTTGTTAACTCAAAACTTATAGGCCTAAGTTATGGAGGGACAAAATTATGTGAAAACTATAAAGATTTTATCCTTATGCTATATTTCCCAGTTGACATTTTAGGTTATGTTTATCGCACTTTAACCTCAAGTGCACTCCTAACCTTACGGCCGTGGATGTTTTCTGCAAGGTCATTTCTCAACATGTGTCACAATCAAACTTATTTCCTAGCAAGAAGAGTATTCTAGGACGCCATTGTTTGTAAAAGACTGTAAAGGTCATGAAGAAATGCAATGTAACTAAATATAAAACTTCAACATACCATTACCAAGTCGTTATTTTTTTGTGTACGGTAGTAAACGAAAACTGCCATACGATATATAAATCTAAAATTATCTTACGACGCCATCACTATTTTACCTTTGTCTGAATACGAATAAAATGGCTCTGCAACATGTCTTGCAAGGGCAGAAACTGGTGAATTTCTCTTAAAACACAACAAAAATATCAGGTAACCATTAAAGGCGTCTGCTTGTTAATATCCTTCAGCTGAATACTTACCAGTTACGTATTCCTCGTCACCAAGTTTCCTGCAACCGGAGTGGGCAGACAGGCAAATACGTAGTCGCCACGTCAAAATTCCAGGGCTTCGTCACAAGGAGTGGGGGGAGTGCAAACGCGTCACCCTGTTTTTGTATCCATGCGCGCGCCGACTCTCTGTTACTGGCGGAAAATAAACTGAAATCAAAACACGTTCAATAAACACGTGATTTAGCTCACTATCCAACGGCTTTAAACTTAAAATAAACCCCTCAAATAAATTAACAAAATGTATGTAATGGCAATTACACGAATAAAGAGCCCTAACTTTTGTAATATGATAATTTTATGTAAAACATTTGTACTGTTACTTTATAACGGCATTTTAAATAGCGCTCTTTAACGAGTGCATTTTTATGTTGATATATAAATAAATGATAAATAACGGTTATGGAAGTGCTTTTATAATATCTGATTTGAGTATTATAATATGAGTTAGTATAGTATGAGTTAGTGAGTTATATAATATGAGTCAGGTTCGATTAGTATTCGTTTAAAAACGTGGAAATAATATTCTATTGCCAAATTGAAGTTACTATATGCAGATGTGTCACTGAAGTTTTTCATCAGAAATGCATGACGTTTTTGATAGTAGGTACACCACCAATACAAATTGTAATTTTTTTACTTCATATAGTTGTAGGACACCAGTATCTATAACTATAATTAGTTATGTTTCTGCTTTTTAAATATAACAGGGTGTTTAAAATGTACCGGTAAGTTACCTTCTACCTCTACCATAGACAAAACCTAATGTTTATCTATGCTTCTGTACACAAAACAATTACAGAAAATTAATTAAAAATCTTTTAAAATACGAGAAAGGCCACAATTTCAGACAGTTATTTTGGAGTTATTAAGGAGTTAAAATTGAGACCTCTTGTTGTTTAGCTTCCGTTTACGGATATTTTTATTCGTTATTTTGATTATGACTCATGGAGACATTGGATCACATTGGAATACAACCTTAAAACCATCGAGACAACAAAATTGGTTTATATAATAATATAAACCAATTTTGTCTTTACATTATTTTGTATATTTGTATTATTTATTATTATTATCCATTGTTATTACTATTTATTCTTTGTATTTTTATCATTTTTATTTTTTTTTATATCTTTTTACAGTGAGTTTGTTATCACAATTTTTGTACATTTCTAAAATATATTCTCTATGACCTACCACGTAGTGTTCTAAAACATTAATTTTTAATTAAATTTTCCGCTTAAAATCATAATCATACTATATTTTTATTATCTCGAGTGAATTCCGGCTTAGTAATAAATAGTCATATTCCCGGGCTCCAAAGACTTTTAACAGAATGCCAAATGAAATTTATAAAATTCTAAATGGTGAATTCAATGTTACATTACAAGAATATTTTTTATTTAATTGTCGTACTACACTGAGTGCTTTGAGAAGGAATGAAAATTGCCATTATATTTACGACCACGGCGCAGTGACGCATCGTAAATTAATAAATAAAATTGTATTTTTTATTTGCCTGTACTAACCTGGAAATTCGTGGGTTATCCTACTTGTTAGCCAGGAATATTTAAATACAAGTATTTCAATTATTTAAATGATTTGATCTAGTTTTTATTTCTACTGTTTCCCGCGCTACAGCTAGGTTACTAAGTTTCGTATAGACGCGACGTCGACGTGGTCGCCGAGGCTCAGTCAAGTTTGAGCCATCGTTTGAGCGCGGCCTTGCTGGATGACGTCAGCTCGTGACGTCAACACCGCGCTGTCTCAGCATCTGGAGAGAGGCTATTCAAAAACTCATCCAACCTCTCAACGTCCCCACACTTGTGCTTCGTTCAGGAAATGTCCCGACATTGTCAAGTATGAAAAGTTAAATTTCATATTTTGATTTTAACCAAAATGCTTGGCAATTTATGACAACGAAATATGTAAATAAATAAATATGCACATTATGTAATATATTTTTTGCAAAATTCAAACAAATAGTTTGACTACAGCCAGCGATATTGAAGAAGATATATACAGGGTGTTTGGTACTCAGTGTGAAAACAAATTTTGGTGTAAGTACAAAGTAAATGCAGTATGATGATGCATATAAAATGTCCCAAGTCTAAAAATTAGCTTCCCAAAGAATTATTTTATGTTTTTAAAAAATGACTATGTTTTTAAACTTAGTACAGCTATTTCTCAATTACCTGTAAATGGATTTGAGTAGACAATGTCATTTTCGTGTTCTACATTAAATTTTGAATAAGAATAATACAAAATGACAGAGGATCAGTTGTAAAAACTCCATCGTAAATAGATTAAAAGATAAAAATTAAGATGTTTGGTAAAAATTCAAAAAACATTGGTCAATTGCATTTGTTCACACCCTGTATACAAGAAAGTGTCGGAATATGTTAAAAACTGCGCCATTTTATAAGCTTTCCAACCATATGCTACACCATTGAGCTTTCTGTCTGCTTATGTACGCTTTCGTGGTTTGAAGACTACAAAGCATGGCGTCTTTATCATTTAAAACATAGAAAGTCAGCATGTATTAAGCAAAAGTTGTATTTTTGTTTCAGCTTGAACAGTAAAAACAGTAAAAAAGTTCCCTGTTTTGTGGCATTCAAACCACTAAAATAAACAAAAAAATATCTAAACCTCAATAGTGTAGCATATGGTTGGAAAGCTTATAAAATGCCGCAGTTTTTAACATTTTCCGACACTTTCCTGTATACAGGGTGTGAACAAATGCAATTGACCAATGTTTTTTGCATTTTTATCAGACATCTTAATTTTTATCTTTGAATCTATTTACGATGGAGTTTTTACAACTGATCCTCTGTCATTTTGTATTATTCTTATTCAAAATTTAATGTAGAACACGAAAATGACATTGTCTACTCAAATCCATTTACAGGTAATTGAGAAATAGCTGTATTAAGTTTAAAAACATAGTTAGTTTTGAAAAACATAAAATAATTCTTTGGGAAGCTAATTTTTAGACTTGGGACATTTTATATGCATCATCATACTGCATTTACTTTGTACTTACACCAAAAAATTTTTTTCACACTGAGTACCAAACACCCTGTATATGTTATACTTTAAATAGCTATTTAAATTTTATTTTATTTTAATGGTTCATAAACTATTGATCTAATGCTTCAAGACTAACTGAAATTGAAATTGAAATAATAAATCTTTGTAATAACTATCTTTGTATTTTATTTTTGAAAATTGATATTTTGTTTGTATACTTATTGTGGAAATAAAACTGATTTTATTTTAAATCTACTCTTCTTAACAAGTATATATAAACTGTGATTGAGGCAGATCTTGGTTTCGAGATCTATTTAGTAGTATTAGGCAAGCATGTTTCTTTAAAACTTTTTTCCTCAGCTCGTGTGTATCACAGGGAAAATCTACGCATACTGTTGGAAAGATATTTTCGTGCAGATGTGCAGAATCCCTTTATAAATTAAAATAGGCTAAAAAATAAGCACACAAAATTAATTTGAAATTTAAAAAATTACATGCGCCTTATGGGTTGCCACACTGGTGACAAAATAACAACAAAATATAAATACCCCCGCCGCAGCAAACCTGCCGACTAAGCGAATTTCCATTTGTCTGAATTGATTTTCAGTTAAATATATTTTAATAACATTAGGTTTAACGAGTACCTAGGTTTGCTGCTACAAGGAAACTAATAAAGTGTGTTTTTGAGTAAAATATTGATAGCTTAGTACAAAATAAATAAATTTGCCAAGTTTGATCAAAATATATCCATAAACAAGCAAACTACAACATTTGACAATATTCTCCATAAGAATAACATGGGAATTTTAAATTTACATTTTTTTAAATTTTCTCCGTTACTAATAATTGAACAAAAATACTTTTATATAGCCTACTAAATTATTTGTTTTTTAAGCTCTTTAAAAAAGGTCTAAAGAGAAATCGGGAAATTTTGTGTTTTGAGGGTCAAAAGTGAGAAAAACCAATTTTTACCCCATAAAACCCCCCGTAAAGCCCCGTTCCCATGGTCCGATCGTGCTGGTTCGCGAACTCATTCAAGTTTATCCCGCTTTACACCCTTAAACCAAATTTAATCAAAATCGGACAAAAATTACTCAAGTTATCGCGTTCACAGACGTATATATATATATAATATATATATATACATATATAAAAATTTGAACGAATGGTGTTTTTGGCCTCTGGGGACATCAAAATTAAAAAGTAAATCGGTCCCGGGTCTAGGTCTTACCGTGCCACCTACGGCAATAGCTACTTCCCTATAGGGAAATTCGCTAAAAAACAGAAAATCAAAACAAATGGAAGAAATTCCAATCACATCTTTTATTTACAGAGTGGGGTGAAAATGGAGAATCCTGTGCATTACATATTTTGGTCGAGTTTTCGACCACTGGATGACCTCTAGTTTAATTAATTCAAAGTAACAATTATTTTATGGAGAAGTGAACACTGACATTGATTGATTGATTTTTTATTTAATATTGTTGACAAACATTAATTTTGTCATCCTTATGATGCCATCATTAATAGGAATACTATAGGCATAGATGAAGTAATATGCCTACGTGTGTAATGTAATAAGTACCAGGAGACCAAGAATTGCATGTCAAGTTTAATTCGTTTGAGAGGTTAAAAAATAAAACATACATTTGTACGATTTAATACTATTACAAAATCAGTTCTAAAATATGTAGGCCGGGGCCACACGTGGCGGATCGTCCGCGCGGCTTATGATCGTACGATCATAAGCCGCGCGACGATGACCCGGCCACACGGAGCGAAAGAACCGCTTCCGGTTGAGGTTTCCCAGCCTACGTACTGTAAGATTAGAACATGGTTTAATTCACTCGTTCTCGTTGTAGTCATGGAAGAAACACGTATGTAGGTTTGTGCATTAGAAGCGTGTGGTGAACTAGAGCCTAAGGCAAACCGAAATTATATTGTAACTATCGCATGTAGATAGCATCGTTTGACGAGCTACTTCAATTGATTTGACCGTATATAACTAAGGAAGATACCCTCATGAGAAATGTACAACATGAGAAATCCCACATTGTTTTTAACAAGTTCTATTGATTTGTCTGTAT